TAAGCATAGCATATAATTAGCATGTCAGGTTTTTTTGTGTGAAGAGATGCTTTCAAAGTAGAGGAAGTATTTATTTTGCTAACTTTAGAAGCTCTGGCATTTTCTCTGCAGTCTTGTTAAAGTACTAATTTACCATCTTCTTTTTAACTTCAGGACATGTGTGCAAACTGTCAACTATTATTTTTTTTTTAGTGGACTCTAATTTGTCTTCTGAGTGTTTTAATTTATGGAGTATTTTATTTTCTGCTGTCCATATACATTCTGTGCTTTGTGTTTTTCACACCATTTGAAGGACCAATTATGGTCTCAAGAAAAATCTTAGCATCGTTGTAAATATTACACATGTACACAGGCAAAATTATAACTTAACAGAAGTAGAGATTTTAACACTAGTTAGGAAGCAAGAAATACCGTAGTAAAGAAATAATTGAACCTGTGTTCTATAGGCATAGATGCTAGAATCTTTTTGAAAACATATATATATATATATTTACACATCAATTATGCAGATATCACATATAAACACACACAACTAGGATTGTGCAGCTCTTTTGAAAAAAAGAGAAGAAAATCTATAGGTGAATTTTCTTCAGCATTTTCCACCATTTAAAAATTTTTAACCTGTAAAAAACAAGTGAAAATTTTTTTTTAATAACCATGAATAGCCAATACTTCTTAAAATGTCAAATTGTACATAGTCATGTGCTATTTCCCGATGAACATCAATAAACAATGGACTGAAGAATACAATGAGACATGCAAAAGATCATGGAAAATGGCGTTGATACATATTTTATATTTCTGCATGTAAGCTTCATCTGTTTTGTCCAACTCTAAAGAGCCTGATGGACCCACAGGATCCTGGGAGTAGATCCTCATCAATGCATTCATTTTTCACATAATCAACTAAAGAAAAGTGGAAGCCCTTTAAAGGAAATATTTTTTTTTTATCTAGGAACAACAACAAAAAAATGTTGCAAGGAGGTGCATCAAGAATAGCAGCTGGGTTTCTAATGATTTCCTGCTGGAAACTTTTACAAAGCTGTCACTAGTTGAGAAGCATGTGGATAGTTTTCCCAAGACCTTTCTACCAAACCTTTGGCTAACCTGCTGAAAATGCTCTTAGAAAATAGACTGTGCCTCATCTTCTATCCTGACTGGTTTGTTTTTGTGTGGGCTGAATCACTTTGGCCCTTGGTAACCATTATTTCTGTTGTGTTTTGTCTTCAGAAATACACAAGGACAGGTTTTAAGCCATTGCAATTATTTGAGATCCTGTACTTCCTCACGCTACTTATGGAAAATAGTCCTTGAGGATCAATTGTTTTTTACAATGCATATGTGCAGTCGTTTTGACACCCGTCTAGTGAAAAGTTTGTTCATTTTAGTTTTTCAAGTATAGTTATTCAGGTGAAACTCTTTGAGATGTACATGGTATTAGTGATTGTTTTTGATATGAAATACTGCTGTTCTTCAGTTAAGTCATGAGCAAAGGGGCTAACAGGATGGTTCAACTGGCTAACAATCCTCCACTTGTAAGCACTGCCATTCCATGTGGGCACTTATTTTTGTCCCAGTTGTTGCAGTTCCAATCCAGTTCCTGCTTGTGGCCTGAGAAACCAGAGGAGGAAGGCCCAAAGCCTTGGGACCCTGTGCCTATGTGGAAGATGCATGTTGGTTCCTGGCCTCAGATTGGCTCATCTCCAGCTATTGCAGTCATTTGGGGATTGAATCAGTGGATGGAAATTTGTCTGTCCTCTCTATAAATCTGCCTTTTCAATAAAAATAAATAGTTCTTTTAAAAAAAAGATATAAGCAAGACATTTTTCCTGAACAAAGTGAACAGCCTATTGCTGCAGGCTTCATTTTCAGCATCAACTCATCCCTTTTTAAAATGGATTGCAAACTTTATTTACTTAGGTTCTGGTTCCCATAATTTTTTCCATAAATTAATTATTTTACCATTCTTCTACCAGAGCTTTATGGCAAATTTGAAGGTTTTTTTTTTTCTTGTTGCCATTTTAGCAGGATTCCTAATGTACCTCCCTTTATACATCAAGAGTAAAATTGTAAGCCAAATGCATGTGATAAAAATGTAAGTTAAAAGTAAAAGGAGAAATCATGGATGATTTCTATAGAAAGAAGCAGGAAAGTTATGCAACTTTTATCTATTGTATGATCCAGTTTACGTAAAAGTAATGGATGCAAACAATATAATTTTACTCAGCACAGTACTTTTCTTTGATGTTTGCAATAATGACCAAATGAAGCAGGAATAAAGATTTGAGGACATTTATTAAAATTCTGTAACTTATACATGTGCTGGTTTCATTGTAAATGTTCAGGGAATTGTAAGGCTGAGATTTGTGTACTTCATTTTATACTCCAATGAAATTTCAAATTAAAAATATCTAAGGCCCAGCTTGGTGGCCTAGTGGCTAAAGTCCTTACCTTGAACATGCTGGGATCCTATGTGGGATCCAGTTCCAATCCTGGCAGCCTTGTTTCCCATCCAGATCCCTGCTTGTGGTCTCAGAGCAATTGAGGTTGGCCCAAGGCCTTGGGGCCCTGCACCTGCATGGGAGACCCAGAAGTTCCTGGCCCCAGGCTTCGGATCGGCACAGCTCTGGCCATTGCAGTCACTTGGGGAGTGAATCATTAGAAAGAAGATCTTCCTCTCTATCTCTCCTCCTCTCTGTATATCTGACTTTGCAATACAAAGACATCCTTTTTTTTAATCTAGAAATGCTCACAATGTAGAGATTGCAAGTAGGACCCAAAAATCATAGGTGGCAAAGATGATGGAAATTGCAGTAAAACACAGTCAGTTGCAATCACAAGATAAACTAAGAATGAATGAATTGCCATAAAACAGAGGATGGACATGTAGCTGTCTTTTTTAGAAGTTCAAACGGCACTTGGGAGGCGCACACCCCAGGTCACTGCCTGGACTCATGGTGTTCTGCTTTAGCTGCTGCTGCTTGTGGGCATACACCCAAGCAGGAAGCTCCAGTAGCCACTTTTCTTGCTACCCACGTGTGACCAGCGTTCAGTTCCCAGCTTCCTGTTGATCCTGCTCAGATCTTGTTGGAAATTGGGGTGCCAAGTGGGGAATAGAAGTGTTTCTGTTCCTCTCTCTCTCTCTCCCTCTCCCCTTCTCTATCTTCCCCTCCTTCCCATTCACCTTTGAAAAAAAATAGACAAGAATGTTTTAAAAAGGGGAGAGGAGGACAAAATAAAACCTTTGATATAGTTACAAATTATCCTTTTTCATAAACATCGCAGAAGTGACAATTACTGGGTTAAAATTACAAGTTTCTATGCAATGGGACTGGTGCCAAAACTCAAGCTGTATTTTTAGCCCATGCATTTTGTTTTCTCTAATGATTACAAAATATCAGTAGATATTTTTCTCTGCTGATTACTTACTGATTACAATTGCAATCAGTTAAGAAAAAAATCACATATTGATCGATATCTTTTGCAAGAGGACTACGGTTTTCTTTATTAATAGAATGTTGACTGCATAGATCAGGCCACAGAGTGGGAGAAAGAAACTAAAGTATTGATTATTAAGTACTGATCAGGTATTCATGATGATCCCTACAAAAGTCCAGTGAAGTCTTTCTTACAGGTAAATTTGGAACTAGATCAATTTGGAGATAGATCAAAACTGTTTAAGTGACGATAGAATTTGAAAACTGCCTGTTTTCTGGGTTCCCACATTTACACAATCTATCATGTACTTTCTTTGGGAATCATTGCACCTGAATTCTTTGAGAATGAGTTTTGGATTGATGATGTCTTTTGGGTCAGGCATTGTGGCACAGTGGGTGAAGCAATCCTTTGAAATGCCCACATTCCATATAGGAGTGCTGATTCCAATTTTGGCTTCCCTGCCTCCTTTCTAGCTTCCTACTAACACCTGCCTGGGGAGGAAGCAGATGATGTTCAGATGCTTTTAGGCCCCTGTCAGAGGCAGGGCTGATATTTCGGGTTTGGAATGGCCTTGCCTCAGCTGATACAAGCATTTTGGGAGTGAATCAGTAGATGATGAAAGATTTCATCTCTGCTTTTTCTGCCTTTGCCTTTCCGATAAATAAATTTTTGTATGAAAGACCCATTTTATTTGTTGCAGCACTTAGTAAATATATTTGCTATTAGGATAGTTGGCTAGGTTTGCTAGGTTATATATTACATTTATATTTAAATATCAAACTAATCTTTTTTGGGGGGGAAAACACATTTTGATCCCATAAACAGAATAGGAAAATTTGTGTGTGTGTGTGAATTATATTAGTATAAAATGTGGTGTAAGGGGAAAAAAGTTTAAAGATTCGCAAAACACACAGATACTTTATTGAATTACTCCCGAGTAACTAACAAGGGAGTTTGCAAGTTCAACTCAAGTATTGCGAAATAACCCTTTAGTTCTAGGTGTTCACACATGGTGTCAGAGAAAATCCCTGCTTTTTTCTTCTCCCGGTGTAGGGGATCTTGGAAACCATTTGAATCTCCATAACAACAGATCAGAGGAAGATTCATGCCTGGGTGTCATATTGACTCCATCACCTACTCCTTACAAAACACTGTGAATTAAAGGAACTGGTGTCTGCTTTCCCAAATGTAAAATTAGAGCATCTGGTTTCAGCATAACTTCTACAAACAGGTTTCCTAACATTAGTACTATTGCTACTTCCTCCACTTTGTGGTGTAAGGTTACTTCATTATTTAGTGGGTACTTGGCAGTGTCTCTGGTCTCCGTTGGTTCGTTCATTATGTGTCAACATCCCCCCTCCACTTCTAGCTCTGACAACTGAAAAAGGCTTCCAGACCTATTGCAACTGTCCTGGGGTAAGGGGAGCCGGGGAGGGGGCGTGAAAGGAAGGACAAGAGCTCCTAGTTAAGAACCACTTTCCTAGAATGAGAACGAATCATAGCAACACAAAGCAAGAATGAAGAGTCCATCTCTAACGAGCACATTTCAAGATGTTTTAAGCATTTTAGGAGGATCTTTATATTTAGGCATTTTGGAATAGTTCCCTGTACAAAAGAAGTAGGCACTGCAGTAGGGCATCCATTGCCTCAGTCGCAGCATCTTCCTTTAACCTTCACTGGACTCGGTTCTTCTTTTGGAAGTCATCACGTAGAAACTTCAGTTTCTTTTGAATCTCAGTCAGCACACCAATTTTCTGTTCCAAAATGGACAATGATTGGGCAATGCAGAAGTCAACGTCGTAATTGACGCCCTCAGCTGCCTCCTGGATGTTCTGCCACCACTCGCGAGACTCCTTCTGGGTTGCTGGTTTCGCTAGGTTGGTGGGCAATGTTTCAGCGTCTTTACTCTGTTTATCCTCATCGTTCTCTATGCAAGGTGTTTTCATAAATCCGTGCCTCTGGAGGGACATGTCTGAATTCCTGATCTGTTTTTCCGACATCTGTGGAGCCTCGTGTCCCACGGGATAGAGACTACGAGGACAACACCTCATATCCAGGGTGAGCGCTTTCACCCTGTGTGCGTATCTCAGGGTGTTGAGGGTGTTCTCGCAGGAGGTCATCCCTGGGGAGATGGTGGCGATCATGCAGGTGGAGGAGTTCTGGCCTATGAAGGAGTCCCTGAGCACCTGTGTGAGTTTGCTGGCTCTGAATGGTGTGTGAGGCTTGTTCTTCCCCAAAGCCCTGATGCACTCTTTGAGAGCTAGGAGACTCTTATTAATCTCTGCCCCTTCCAGCTGTCTCTTCCGATTGGCCCTGGCTGTGTCTGCTCCCCTTTCATTCCCAGCCAAGTCAACCAAAGAGAACTTGCCATGCAGCTTCCCTCTTGACTTCAGGATGATCTGGAACACTGCGTGGCTCCTGGAGGACTGGGCATTGACTGAGGTCTGCCCTGAAGTCCGACAGCTGTTCCCCAGCTCAACCACGCTCAACACTTCCTCCACGCAGCACACCTCCCGCTCCTGCAGTCCCACCACTTGGATTTGCTGACGGCCGTCCTCCAGGACTTGCAGTTTCTTCTTCCAGTTCAACAGGTCATACACCTTGCCCCCGTAAATCTCAAAGAACGTCCCGTAGACTTTAAGGTTGAACTTCTCATAAGTGGGGTTTTTGAGCAAGAGAAAGACATCCTGTGCGACCAAGGCATAAATACCTTTGGAACAGTCCTGTGCCTTTCCAGAGAAAGCTCCTCCCATGGTGTGTGTTTTCCCGCTACCTGTCTGCCCATAGGCAAAGCAGGTGGCCATGCCCTTGCGAAAGATAGACTCCACCAGCGGCTGCGCTGTGAACTGGTACACTAGTTCATTGGAGGCAGTGTCATCAAAGGCATGGTCAAAGCAGAATATCTGGTTCTCCAGGTAGCGCGTGAGGTCCACCTTTTGCTTGGACTCGTGCACCATTACCACTTTGTCCGAGGGGATGGTGATGATATCCAGGTCTTTCATGGTGGTCTCCTGCTGGTTGAGGGGCCGCTTCCTCACGCAGACGCAGATTCGGTGGTCTTCTGGGGGCTCACAGCTGCACAGCAGGTTTTTATCCAGGCGCCTGCGGTACTCCTCGATCATGCACATGATCTCATGGTTCCGGTTTCCCTTGTTGACATCCAGGGCACGCTTAGATCGGATTTCCAGATGGAGCCGCTGACGCTGCTCCCGCTGCTTCTGCAGTTTCTCAATTTCCCTTAAGCAGGGAGACTTTTTTTGCTTCATCAAACAAGGGTGGCCGGGCACCCCTACAGCTGGGCTGTCCCCTGAGGGTGTTTCACTTTTCTTCGAGATCCTTGCGATCCACCGAGTGGCTGTGCGCTGGTCTCCAGTGGCCGAAGAAGGCACCAGGGAAGCGAGGCTCAAGGGCGTGGGTGCTTTGGGGTGTTCTGCAGAGGCTAGAGTTGGGTTCAGAAGGAAGATGGTCTCCAGCTCAACTTTCTTGCCTTTCTTGACCCCTTTCTCCACCCACTCTACCGTGACCCACGAGTTCTCCTTGTTGATCTCTGTGACCACAGCCAGATGGATTCGCTTGTCACTGCGCTGGATTGCGACTCGGAGGCCCACCTGGATCTCCTGAAGGTGTGACTTCAAGAGTTTCAAGGACGAGGGGTTCGGGGCAACAGGAAGGCAGAACTGGCTGGCCATGATGAGCGGTGGAGATTTCAGGGCTCGCCGCCAGGGGCCCTTGGGGTTGGAGGAGCAGGACCCGAGCCCCTCAGCCAGCTTGAGCGCAGGGAGCTTTGAGCGTGTTAGTGGTTTCCACCTGCCTTTGTGAGCTGAGCATGCTGGCACCCAGGCTACTGGCGTCACAAAAGGATGGGGTGAAGGCATGGTGGAGTCTAGGGCCACTATGTGAGAGACAGTAGCAAGAAAACTGTGGGCTGTGCTGGAGGAGGACGCAGTCAGTTGGAATAGAAACTGTTCGCTGCCAATGAAGGTGAGAAGTCGTGGCGTTGGGGCCTAAGCTTTGGAGACATTGCTTTTCCGCACTCTTGATTGAATTTGAGAATCGCTAAGAAGTTCCGTGAAATTTCCACTTCAGCAGGAAAAGAGGAGATAGAGTTGTTTACCGATCGCATGCCTCCCCATTAGAAATTCAACAGGACCCCCACAAAGCCTCCTTAAATCTGCTGTCTTTCTTTATTCTCCCACTCTTTTCCCAAACGTGTTTACCAGCCACGGCTTAAAATTATTCCATCTTAATGGGATTTCTCATTACAAAATCTGAAGGAGTTGAAAAGTGGCAGGTCATCCTGTAATTTGCTAATGCAGAACTGCCTTGGTACAGCATGTGAGTTTGCAATCGCGAGATGTTCATCTCTTCCCAAGATGCTGTGCCAGGTATCAAGTGTGTGTGGTTGGTCTGCAGGTACCTCCAATTCTGAAATTGGCTCAGTAATTACTATTCCAAACTTCTTCAGTAATTACACTACAGCCTCATTATCCATCATTTGGAGAAGGAAGAGAGACATTTTGCTAAAAAAGAGAATCCATCCCTCCCCACTCTAAAATGTGTGTGTGTGTGTGTGTGTGTGTGTGTGTGTGTGTGTGTGGACTTGGCGAGTGGGGTGTCCCAAAGAAGTTTTTAAGAATGAGTTAGGGTGGGAAAGGATGAGACTGTGAGAAGCAAAACTACATCTTGACAAAATTTCCACATTTTTCTATAAGATGATTTCCTTGCAAGAACCAACCAAATGAAAAACTTCCAGATGGGCCAAGACAAGGATAAAATGGCCAACTTATACACAGCTCCATTTTTTTCCATGTCAGATATCACTTTGTCGTTTGGGTTGTGAATAGAATTATTTCATTTACAGCTTCAAAATAACTTGAAGTAGTAAGGTGTCTTTTAATCTTTCCCTAGTGCCATGAAACACCATGAACATTTTTTTAAAAAAAATAAATGAGTGTTTGATAGAAAAGTACCAGTATATTTACGAAGCCTTTAATTTTGAAGAGATGGAGGTGAAGGAGTACTAGAGAAGCTTCAGAGGTATGCATGGTTCATCCCACTTGGGATGTGGAATACCTGTGCAGAGAGAGGGCTTTAGGCAATTGTATTTATGTGATTACCATTAAAAACATTGCCCAAATTAAGGTCAGTGCTGTGTTGTAGCAGGTATAGCCAGTATCATACATGCGCGCATGTTCCTATCTGAACTGCTCTACTTCCAGTCCAGTTCACTCCCAGTGTGCTTGGGAAAGCAGCAGGGAATGGCCTAAGTCCTTGCGCCCCTGCATCCATGCGGGAGACACAGAAGAAATTCCAAACTCCTGGCTTCTGAGTGGCCCAGCTCCAACCTTTGCGACCATTTGGGGAGTGAACCATTGGACAGAATATTTCTTTCTCTCTCTTACAATCTCTCTGTAACTCTACTTTTCTGATAAATTGATCAATCTTTTAAAATTTTTACCCAAATTATTAGTATTTAAATTTATGCTTAAAAGGTTTTTTTTTTAAGATTGATTTTTATTGGAAAGGCAGATATACAGAGAGGAGGAGAGACAGAGAGGAAGATCTTTTTACTGATGATTCGTTCCTCAAGTGGCTGCAGTGGCTGGAGCTGAGCCAATCTGAAGCCAGGAGCCAGGAGCTTCTTCCAGGTCTCACATGTGGGTGCAGGGTTCCAAAGCTTTGGGCTGTCCTCAACTGCTTTCCCAGGTCACAAGCAGGGAGCTGGATGGGAAGCAGGACCACAAGGGTTAGAATCAGCACCCATATGGGATCTGGTGTGTTCAAAGTGAGGACTTTAGCAGCTAGGCTATTGTGCAGGGCCCTACCCCCTTAGGTTTTAAGTGCAATTATATTTTCCCCTCCATTTGTCATCAAGTTAGATTATGGATTGGTTTTCTTTTTGTTGTTGTTTGCTTGTTTGTTTGCTTTTAATATTTCATTTCAGAAGCTTTCCACTTCAAAAACAAATGATTTGAGGTAGTGATAAGAGATACTCCTCATTGCATTGCCTCTATTAGCTTCTCTTATTGCTGTCTGTCACAATTTGACTCATGTTTTTGTCATCTTAGTTTCTCTGCATGGATTTTTATACAATATTTCAGGGATTTTTTTTTTCAGATGTCTTTAATTCAGTTTTTGATCTCTACAGTTTATTTTCACATATTACTAACCAGATAGCTAAATGAAAAGATTGATACTGACTACAATTCTGAGACCTTAGAGTGTCACAACTATGCCAAAACTGGTTATTTTCTACCTGAAATGATACTACCTTAGGCATTTTTAATGGCTTTCATGGGTTCAACATCGACACCTTCTCAGAAATGTCATGTACATCTCTCTCTGTCAGTCCTAACATGGAAAGTTCTTTACTGGCTCCCAGTATTCTTCTGTCACCATCGTGACAGCGAATCATCCAATCAAATATAATCCAATCAGGAAACTGGACCTTGGTTCTTTGTCTTCACGACTATTTCAATAAGTTCTTCCTTATTCATTGTCTGTGCTTAAGTTATTCCCTCTTATGCTGATAGAATTCAAAATCTACCATGAAGGCATATGTGGCATATGCTTATTATTTTTTATTATTAAATTTGCCATTACCTGTTTTTTAGTCTATGGTTGAGCAATAAATACTAAAGGGTTTTAAACACATGGTTGCTTTTCATATTTCTGTTTATAGTTCAGAGATTTTTATTTTTAACGTACATAAAAATCACTTGCAGAGAGGTCAGAGCTGTGGTTAAACTACCACGTGTAGTACCAGCATCCCACCTGGGGACCAGTTCAAGCCTTGGCTGTTTCATTCCTGGTACTGCTGCTAATGTATCAGGGAGAGCAGAAAAAGGTGGTCTAAACACTTGGGCCCCTGCACCCACATGGAAGACCCGGATGAAGCTGTTGGCTTCAGCTTGGTCCAGCCCTGTTTCCATGGGCATTTGTGGAGAGGAACAATACTTGGAAAGTATTCTCTCCCTCTCTCTCCTTCAAATAAATAAGTACATCTTTCTTTTTTTAAGTCACTTGCTGAGTTTGTTAAAATATAGATTACTAGAACCCAGCCTACAGTTTCTGACTCAGATGGTGCTGGTGCTGTAGGGCTGAAGCAGTGCTTTTAGATTTACTAGTTTTGCTTCGGACCGAATAGTCTCTCTCTTTTCTCGCCATTTTCTGCACCTTTTTAGTGCCTACCGCAAGTATCATTACTCCTATACTAGTTTCTTTGATCTTGTTAATATGATCAGGCAAAATAGCATTAGTGGAGGCATGCCTTAGGAGGAAGTAATACCTATTACTGGTTTAATTTGGTTGCTCAGAGTGACTCAAGATCCAACTCTGGTCTCATTTGTGAAGACAACAGGACTAGTTCTACAGAGATATTTGGGTGTTCCTCCAATGTAAAAAATCAGAAATTTTGTTTGCTGCCATGCTTCTTAGTATCTACTAATAAATACTCAAAATTCAGAAAATATCTGCCTCTTTTGATTAATGAAATTTATTTTGAGGGGCATGTCCACCTAAGAAAACACCGTAAGTCTTCACTATTGGGATAAACACAGCATTTGTTGAATGGTGCATGCCTAGATACAAGTTAAGGTATCATCTTTGCCCATAATGTGGATAGCTATTTGGAAGACAAAAAATTCCTTCAGAGACCAAAGGCACCGACAAGTTTTCTGAATGAATGTAGCAAAGCAATAAGCAAATGCAAATGCAAGCATGATGCTCATCGTGTGCTATTTCCTATGTGAAAGGACTCCTGTCCTGCAGGAGTTTACCAGTTACCTATTTTGTTCTGTGTAACTACTGAAAAAGTTCATGTCTTGGCAAATAACTGAGTGATAGTCCTTCGTTATTACAGATCTCTTTTTTCCCAAATCCTAAGTAGTATGAGACACAGCCATGAAGAAGAGAGTAGACATAAGCCTGGAAAGTGTGCTTAGTAATTTTCCCTTATTAATTGCAGATTGCATCTGTACTAGGAGCTTGGGAGTGTTGCTTCCTTGGAGAAAATATGATTAGTGGTCTGATTTTAGAGACACGTCCATCTGGTGAAATCTATCGGAAACCCACCTTTCTAACACTGTGTCAATGGACACATAGTAGTGTGGCTTGTTTAATCCCCTTGGGTGTCTGCACTCCTCTGCTGCATGGCTGTACCCTGGGGTCCATCTAGTTCTTTGGAGGCATCAGTAGATTTTCCCAAATCCCTTTGAAGAAATGGAATGCATCATCTCAAGTTAAAAACTTTTGGGGAGGCCCAGCGCGATAGCGTAGTGGTTAAGGTTCTTGCCTTGAACGTGCCAGGACCCCATATGGGTGCCGGTTCTAATCCCGGCAGTTCCACTTCCCATCCAGCTCCCTGCTTGTGGCCTGGGAAAGCAGTTGAGGATGGTCCAAAGCCTTGGGACCCTGCACCCACGTGGGAGACCCAGAAAGAAGGTCCTGGCTCCTGGCTTCAGATTGGCGCAGCTCCAGCCATTGTGGCTACTTGGGGAGTGAATCATCAGATGGAAGATCTTCCTCTCTCTCCTCCTCTCTGTAATCTGCCTTTCCAATAAAATAAATAAATCTTAAAAAAAGAAACTTTTTTTGAACAGTGGGGAGGTATCTTTCTAAGTGAATACCTTTAGAAAACAAGAGAAAATCAATTTAGAATGCAAATAACATTCTATACATTAGGACTGTTATTATTGCATTAGGACTGACAATATAGATGGAAATTTCAGACAGACTTAACCAAACTAACAAGACCTTCATTCAGCAAAGGTTAATAATTGTCTTGTTAATAGCTACCTTCCTAAAACTTACAGTGTCATTTTCAGAAATAGTTATTAAGAGAATAATATGTGTCTTTTTATACACAGAGAGATCCATTCAGAATAGAGATGATATCCCAGCTCTCTGAGTGTCAGGATCCTTATTAGACACTAAACATCTGTTTGTTAAGGTGGTAAAGCACATATGTACATTACAGGTTC